CAACAACAGGCTGACAGGCTTATGTGCAAGTTACTGTCCCAAGCTATGACTTCAACAATAGCTCGGTTTGCTTTCTCCCTTAGCTCTTTGGTCGACAAAAATCTCATTGGTATTGCAGCGAAGGGAAATTTTGTACACCAATTGTGGGAAGCCATCGTGCTACTCCAAAGCCATATGAGCATCTCATGGTTCGTGTTGAACTCCGCACCGTCTGTAAACCATTTCACCTTGGTGATTGATGTATTTGACTCAGACATGAAGAACATTTTTGTTCTGGGGGCCCATTACACACACAAGAAAATTGTATGTTCACGCAAAGCCCTGGATCTGGGAAAGTCTCTGCTTCGAGGCCTGACCTTGGATGTGGATGGGTGGCACTGAGATGTCCGATCTAAACCAACCCCTTTCGAACATATTAAAGGTGGGTTACGAACAAAGACATCTCAGTGCCACCAAGTGGCTGCAGCACTGGATGGTTGGAGGCCCAAAGTTTGTCAGCCGCTTTCCAAAAGGCATGGGTCTTTTGGGAGGTAGCCCCTATAGCTAAACTCCAAAGCTTGTTGTCTTGCTTTTTCCAGATCTGGGATAATACGTCAGATGCTAGCATCACTGGGATCACACGTGGCACCACCTTGCCTAGATCAGGGTCGTAGATGTCAATACAGACATCGTGCGTGTCAATCTTTGTGCCATAGAGTGATGGGATAAGCCGATGAAAATCACGTTCCACATTGTGGAGATGCTTCCCCCATGAAGCTAGTGACGCAAGAGATCTAATTGTTGGATCATCCAACCCATCCAAATACGCTGCATTGGCGTACCGTTGCATGGAAGAGACATGAAGTTCCTGAGCTCCAACTAGATACCTTTTTCCCAAATATCAAACAAAGTTAGAATTGGGATACCCGCGCAACACGAACCAAACAGTAGACAACGTGACTCATAGCGAGCAAAGATCACCCCTTGACAGGTCCCAAAGCATCTCCTTCGCAAGTGCCCCGCCAGGCTCTTCGATCTTGGTGCGCTTGTGCTTCTGAGGACAGCCTGGCGAATGGGCAGTTGGGGTGAGGCACAGATGTTTCCGCTCACCAAATATGTACACGCAGTGTTTCTTTTTTCTTGCAAGATGGTTGCCTATAGCAGCGTGCACCCTAATCACGGTGTAAGGCTCTGCAACGCATCACAACTAGGATGAAGGCCTGCTGCGCTTTGAGGTCACACATGCCAAGCTAGAAAACACATTATATAAGCTGCTATATCGAAAGATATCGAAAGACTGGTTCGAGTGCACTCTATCGGACATAAGGGTTATATAGTAAGCATTGTGCAATGCGCAGGCCCAAGATCAGTCGCTCTGAAAAAAGCGGGACTGAATGAACACAAGCTGACAAAAAGGCTCACTTCGAGCCGGCTTTAGGCTTGGCAACAGCTGCGGCCCTCATAGACATCGCAACCTTCTTGCGTGCCTTGTACCAGTTGGTGCGCTCTGTAGCCTCGAGGGTAAGGCCTGCATATGATGCCTCATCATTCCAACCTTCCAAGATCATGGTGTTCAACTTGCGGTACAGCTGGGTCATCTTGTCCGCATGATCCTTGAGCGCCAAGCTCAACTGCTCAGAGCATTCCAAAGGCTCGATGGCCACGCAAGTAGAGCGTGCCTCCTCTGCTTCCTTCAGCCTTGGGGGTGCATAAAGGCACAAGGCGCTTTTCATTGAAAAAGCTTCGGGCCTATTAACCTTTCCTTGGTGAAAACAAAAACATGTAAAGGAAGACAAGAAACACAGACTTGGACAAGGCTTGAGCCTTTTGCAAAGGAGTCACAACTTTCACGTTCTCACCCCCGCCCTCCTCCTGACAGTCTTTTCCCTTTCCCTTCTCGCCACCCCCCTTCCCCTTCCCCTTCCCCTTCTTCCCTTTTCCCTTCGCTTTCCCATCCTCTTCGACCGTGCTCGGTGGCCCATTCTCACGATTCCCAAGCTGTGGCAACTCCATGCCCTCAGCAGAGAATAAGGCTCCCTGCTCAGTCAAAAGCAAAGCCTCACTACCAGACAAGTCAGTGCGCCCCCTCAAAGTCTGGGAAGTTTCACTGATGTCCGTGTGGCTCCTGGTGATCTCATCCACCATGATGTACTGTCGCAACTCCTCATCGTCTGGGAAGTTGGGATCTGGGATGAACATCCCTGCAGCTGTTTTTGACTCGATCAATGATTTGATCTGAGCTTCCGTATACCTTCCATCCAGCTCCAACTGCCTCTTGCTCATGCACTTCTCCTTCTGCGCCGCCTTTGCCTGGTGAACCCGGCGACGTTCCATCTCAACGGCGCAGGAAGCAAAGTCTCTCCCCTTCTCCAGCCACATTCTGAAGAGGTCGAGCTTCTGGCCACCTGTGAACATAGGAAGAAGGCTCTTGTGCATGACTTGCCTTAACTTGGACAGGCCAACCAAAAAAGCGAACCCGACCCGACCCAACATACCAACACAGGTTGAGAGGACAAAAAGGGTCCATACCAAGAGAGGTTGAAGGGTAAAGAGACTTCACACATTGTGCAACGCCAAGTTGCGGGTTGCGAGCTGCCTGGAGGTAGGCCATGTACTCACTGCGATGAGTCACTGAATTTGGGAGCGCCTGCTCCTTTGCTTTCACAACCGCCAACTCAACCGAGGCAGAGAGGTTGTCTGGCCGCACCTCTGGAAAAGCTTGATGCACCTCTGGCTTGGTCGCTGAAGCTTGCAAAGGGGCTACAGGTGCACTTGCGATCACTGGCCTTGCAGCTGGCGCAGCTTCTGGCTGTTCAGGTGCATCTGCAAAGGACACATGCCTTGGTGGCGGTGGAGAAGACCTCAGACATGAAGGCCTTCCCGACACATCAGCAGGCGAGGCTGTAGCGCGCGAGGCTGCCTCCTTCTGATCATGCAGCCACAGCTCAAAGTTCACAAGGTCCTCAAAAGGCTCTTCATCTCCGAATTTGTAGTCAATCTCTTCCCCGATGACATCCTTCTTCAAGTATGCCATGTATGTGGCAAACCAAGGATGAGACATTGCCAACTTGACTCTTCGATCCACCTGCTCCAAATCAAGCTTCATGAGATTGTCACGAATAGAGTTTTCCAACGCAACAGCCTCGCTGAGGACAACTTTGGAAGTATTCAGATGCATCATGGGAAATGAAGGCCCATTGGGAGTTGCAGACTCTGCCACACCAACATCCATTGGAGCTGGCTCTTTGGGAGCTGGAGGCTCCGTAGGTGGCACCGGATCCTTGGGAGCTGGAGGCTCCGCAGGTGGCACCGGATCTTCGGGGGCTGGAAGCTGCACAGGTGGCACCGGATCTTTGGCGGCTGGAGGCTCCACAGGTGGCATCACGCCTGTGAAACCTGGCTCTGCAGGTGGCACCACCTCTGCCTGGTCGAAAGGACCAAACAACGCATCCTCATCTGGCTCACTGGTGGCCCTCTCTGCGTGCTTAGCATCTGCTGACACTTCATCTTCCAGCCTCTCTTCATCGATCCTGGCGGCAATGTCTGCCTCAGCTTCCCGCTCCAATCTCTCCAGCTCTTCATCCACCCCACCCACACCAGGTGCAGCAAGGCTCTCATCCACCTCCATCGTAGTGGTGCCCACTTCAGAGCTGGTCCCAAAGCCAGCTTCTGTAGAAATCTCTTCCTGACCGATTGAACAAATTGGTGGCAGCACAAGCACAAACAAGGATTCCTTTTTGAACAGTACACAGACAAGTGGACATACAATAGACATACAACATTTGAATGGTACCGTCCAAGCTACTGCCAAGGTATTCCAATCAAGGCCATTCAATTGTGCAGCAAGCTTGAACTTCTCGATCAAAGCAGACGGCTGCAGCTTGTTGGTCTTGGGAGGAGGCTGCTCTTGTTCTGGTGAATGAAGAGGCCGCTTCTGGCGATACGTCGCAGGGTCAAAGAACTTCCGCACATTAGCTGGTGTGGTAACCATCTCGCCCGGCAAAAACTTTCTCACTGTTCTATGGTAGGTCGCAGGATCAAAGAACTCGCTCACATTACGTGGTCTTGGCGCCCCGCCGCTGACTTCACTTTCACCCCCCCGAGCCTGTGGAGGTGTCACTAATGAAGCCGGCTGCGGTGGGGGTGCGCTTGCCTTCCCTCGAGTCGCCATGGCACACTAGAATTCAGCTTGTACACCAGAATGTTTCCCCAATGTGCGTGGAGATTTGCACAAAACTCTAAAACATGATGCGCGTGAAATTTCACGAGTAATCACGGCCACATCACGGAGTAATCACGGCATCCATGTTTTGACAATCTTGAAGTGTAGTCCATATGATTATATTATATATAATATGTTATCTATATATACGATGTTTATATATCACATACGATGTTTATATCCAAACAGCCTGACAGTGTCACAGGCCCATCTCACACATGGTTTTGACTTCCCTTGACTTCCCTTCAGAACTCTTGACTTCCCTTGACTTCCCTGGTAATTCAGTGGTGCCCAGCCTTCATCTCCGAGAAGGATTGCAGCCCTCTTCATTTACCGGCGGCACCGCAGGACACCTGGCTTGACGCCGCAGTGTGGAGACCTGTGAGTTGGGATCCTTGTCAAGTGAGACCTGTGAGTTGGAGACGTGTGGAACGTCCACGTTCTGGAGAGTAGGGTGTCCTCAACAAGGGGTCTTGGGAACCTTGTCCAACATGATCACACGTGTTGCGTTGGCATCTTTTTTCCTTCTACCCCAAAGCGGCAAACTAGGATGGTGAATTTCATGAATTGGCAAATAATACGCCTGTGGTACTGCGAGCGGTATGCGAACGCAACTCCACATCAGGTACCCTAGAGAGCACTGCACTGCAACAGCTGTCACCCTTTGAGTATATTATATATATATATATCTTTTTGAACACAAACACACACATATATATATATGTATATTTGAATATATATATATTTGCACCCTTTAGTCTACCACACCAACGCTGCTGCAGTGCAAGGAATAAGTGGTCTAAAGACCAGAGAGGTATTGCATACATTCATGCACTTTTGCATCCTCCCACCTCTCGTCTTTTGTGAGAGGTGCCCACACAGAGGGAATTTTGATGCCAGTGAGATCCGGTTCTGGATCATCGCTTTCATCCAACCATGTGGCCAAAGTGGCTAGGCCAAAGGCCTCGGTGTAGGCCTGACTACCTTTCATAGCACTTGACCCTGTAACAGAAACACGGCCATCTGGCATTGTTTTCTTAGTCACAAGCTCCCCCCATTCTTTCTCGGGAAGGGTCCTGCAAAATTTCCACACAGATGCCCGCGAAGCAACCAAATGAGTGGGTTTGGGAGTTGATGCCCCATACGCTCCCATGTAAGTGAACGCTTTGAAGCATGTGACCTTCTTGAAAAAGGCCTGCATGCGTGGATGTGACCACAACATGCTTGAAGAAGGCTGTTCATAGCACCAGTAGCATCGACGGGATTCCAAGATGTACAGGATAAGCGTCATCTTGGCAACCATTTCCTTAAAGCTAGCTGGAAGTTGAGCGGGAGGCGACTGGGAATGATTTGTGGTGGGACCCACATATCTAATTGTACGAACAGTGTTAACTTTGCAAAATGTTATCTTTGGTATATGTTGAAGTGAACAGCGCCCAATTGACTACAGACCCGGCGTCTGAGGACAAGCGGCATTTCCTGCGGCTGTTGACTTGCACCGAGGATCGCCCAGGGGGGTTCCAGGCAGTGCGGCCCGTCCTGACATCGCTGACATTGGGGTTGCCATGATCAAATACTTGCTTTGGTATGGTAAGAAGATGCTCATGAAAAGGGTTTTCCTTTTTCCAAACAACAGTGAACACCTTTTGGAGGCAGATTGTGTCCTGGAACGTGTAAGCAGGGTCAAAGCTATTCAAAAAGGACTTTATCGAATACAGTGTTCAAACATCTACTCTTTTGGTTTGATGCTGACACCTGGAACATCACACGCGTGCCATGGCTCGACGAACGACTGACAAAGACCCATGACGAGCAGACTGTGGCGAGCATTGCAAATGCCTCACGCCGCATACGTAGTGCCATGCATATAGCCAAGCAGAACCTGGCAGAGTTTGATATTATAATATAGTGTCCAGGGTAGTCTGGGTGACTTGATTCCACTCTCAAAGCAAGCATGGCTAGCGACAGTCAACCCAGGCAACAATACTTGGGTTTAGCCATGTTTGAATGAACATGGGCATGAAAAACAATGCAAGCTAGGCGCCCCTGAGGAGTTAATATATCCATCCAAGAACTGTCGAGCAGGATCTCAAACGGAGCTGCGCGGTAGCCAGCCCGAGTCCAAACCCCGGTGACCTAGGCTTGACTTAAACAATGGTGGCAACAAGACCCTGCAACGATATGCAACATGTGGACATCTGGCATTACACACCACCAAGGCGCCGCCATGCATCCAGCAAAAAACTCACATAGGTGCAAATCCATAGGCATAACACCGTTGAAATTTGTGATCAGCACCACCAATTGCATGAGGATTCGCGGTGCGCCAATCATGGACAAAGCAGCCAGTGTGCCAACCAACTGCAAGGGCAAAGATGGGGCGGGAACTATGGGGTTGAACTGAATCTTGTTTTGGTTTTGTGGATGTCTTTTCCAACCCTGCCTGTTCACGCGCAGAGCGTGACATACCTTTCCCAATGCCACTGCAAATCTGCTTTGCCGGTTTGGCAAGCTGCTCCTGAGTTGGTTTAGCCTTAGCCTTCGCTTTCTTGCGCAATTCCTTGCTTTTCTGCTTGATCAGCTGGGTCCCAGATTGCTTCTCCTCTTTGTTGGGTCGCACTTGATGAAGTGTCATGGCAACCAAACAGCAGGAGTGCACTGTGGAAAAGGAACTTAGCGCAAGGTTTTGGTTTGAAAACTCCTGAGGATTTCAAAGGCATCAACACAAAGAGCAAAGTGTCAAGTTTCTCACGTATCCGGAAACATGTGCACGCACTGCCCCAACCTTTTCTTGGCAAGATTTAGCCTGGTCAAATCTTGCTGCGTAACCCCAGCAAAAGCACTTTATGTTCATTGTTCATCCTGGGTTTCAGGACGCCCGCTGCGTGCAAACACACAGCTGCTAAACAAATCTAAATTATGCAAAGCCCCTATCTAGCTAAGCTCCGGGACATTCCAGCCCGCTTTCACCTTTACTGCGTCCCAAGCGGATTGCAAATCATCGAACCAGGGCGTTTGCAGCAAAGCAGGCTTCTCCACGACGTCCTTGCCTACACAAAACAAACCCCATACCCATCCCGACCTCTCAATGGCAATTTGCCATTCACTCTTTGGCCATGAAAAATTCTGTCCAAATCAACCGTTCATGACTTAAAGATGAGGGTTTGGAGGATTGGGGGATCATGGGATGTGAAAGTGATCTTCTTTAATGACAGAAACCCAACACACTTGACACAAGCGCCTTCCACGCAGCCAATCTTGGAAACGCGAAAGGCCTTGTGCTTGAGGAGGACCTCCACCTTTGCCCCTGTGACAGGCGATACAACAGTGTACGACAAGCGTCCCTTGCGGTCTGCTTGAGGTAGTGCTTCGGCAGGCATACCTACACACACATGCATATACAGTGTGCAACAGGACGAGTCGTACAACAAGCTGTTGTAGGTGCTAAATATGTAGATCTATGTAGTGACAAGCCTTCTGGAATTGGCAGCGCTCCATCAGGAGCAGAGATGTCGACCTTCTGAACTTTGGCGGCCGGCTCCGCGGCTTGAGGAGCTTGAGCTTGTCGCTTCCTAGACTCCTCATTTTTCATGCATGGTCAATGAAACAACTAGAAAGTTATCGAGCTAGTCGTCCGTATTGCAGCATACTGCGCGTGTTATTATATATATATATTGATAGCTTTACATCAGTTGTATGAGCCGAGCTTCGACTAGCTTCCGCTGATCTTGAGGGTCGACCACAGGGATGACACTGTCTTGGGAAGCGGGGTCAACGACTTCTACCCCGCTCACACCCGTAGGCGAAGCTTTGGGGGGTTCAATCCCTTTCACACCAGCAGCCAAATCAGCTGGCAGCATCGGGGGTTCCAAGGGGCGTTCGCTGGATCGCCACTCGCAGGACTCTAAGACCTTTGGCTTCTCAGGATGCTCTGGAGGTGTCACCGATGAAGCCGCCGTTGAAGGGGTCGGTGTTTGCATCCGCCCGTCCTGTAGTTAGTATTGAGTCTTGGGATGTGTTGGGATTCAGAGAGAGAGAGAGAGAGAGAGAGTAGCAATTTCCCATTTGGGTTGGGTCATGAAAAAGACCACCGCAAGTCTAGCTTGGCCCCTCCAAAATATAGATGCGTTGCTATTGGTATAGGACTTGCGGGGCCTTTTTTCAGGACCCAAAAGTTAAAATTTGGCAAGAGAGAGAGAGAGGGAGCTTATATATATATATATGTTTGTGTGAGATCAGATCGATCGTCGATCCTCGATGCGCATCTGTTCAATGTGCCGCTCCAAACTGTACTGGCTGAAGGCAGTGTCAGCGTCAAGCCTCCAGCTCCAAGGGTTCAAAACATTTTACACGTGACAATCGGCAAACACCACCACTGCAGACCAGGAACCCTAGAAGCTCCAAGGTGCGGTTGATGACATCGATATCCATTGACGACCTGACTTCCCACTCGTGCGTACAAGAAACGGTTCACTGACGAACCAAACTTTCAGGAAACCTTTCTGTTGCTCAACCACGGCCCTTCCAATAAGACTACCAATTTGTTCCACACAAAAACATGCGATAACCCATGACCCATGGTGCCCCCCAACAAGTCTGCTGAGAAACTGATTTGGTGAACTTGGCACTGATTGCACAGGCTCCCTGGGGGAAGAAGAAGCAAAGGAAGATGAAGAGGAGGAGCGATGGCCGCGCCGCTGGTTGGCCAAGGTTTTCAAATAGGTGACCCGATCAGAACGACCAAGATCGTTCTTGTACCCTGAAGTTCGAATGTAAGACAAAAGCCGCTTCATTTTCTCACCTTCTTTGAGGGCACAATCCCGAATAGACTTGTCTTTGATGGGGTTCCCCTCAGCTAGGCCTAGGAGGCCTCCATTCCACAAGTGGTTCAGCTGCAAGCACGCATCCCCCAGCAAATACGCACTACCCAAGCGTTCATATGGGTATGTTGCCAAAAGTGCTTCAGCAACATTTTGGACATGGTCTTCGTTCAAGGCGTCTGCGTCAAATTTGGACTTATCCATCAACTGCCCCTCGCCCGGAAGCAGCTTCGGGTCCACGTGTTCATGCAGAGCGGTGGCAATCTGCGAAGCCAGCTCAGGGCCCCACCATGTTTTCCATTGAGCCAAGGGTCGAGGTGAACCTAGGGACATCTTTATAGGGCGGATTGACTCCCAACCTTGCTTGCTCACAAAAAAAAACGGCTGCGCAGGACAAAAACATGGATGGGTGGCGGACCCGTGTGACCGCGTGACCGCGATCGGCAAGCAACCTCACTTACTGACTCTAGACCAAAGAAAGTTCATCTTTACCGATACTCTAGTTCAAAGAAAGAAAGGGATCATGAATCATGACTCCTTAACTTACTTACCATTGTCATCTCTTCTCGAAGAAAACATCTTGAATTTGTCTCATGTCACAGGTTCATTCAGGTTGCGTACAGATCCTTCAGCGCACGTCATTGTAACTGTGCCGGGCACACCTGTCTGGCAGTCTCAGCCGTCGTAGGCGCCATTTTCATGGCCAGCTCCGAAAATATACATGCGGAAAACACGCCTTCCACTTGACTAGAATGTAAACATATACAACAAGGGTTTGGATTGAGAGAAACTTGTCCTCACGTAGAACTTATAACCTTATTAATATATTTGCAGCAGGATACCTATAACAAGGGTTTGGGTTGAGAGAAACTTGTTCTGGTCCTCACATAGAAAATTATTTGCAGGATACCGATACCAACACCTTTGCACACAGCTTTCTGTGGCATAGCTGGACCAAACCGGCGCAATGTCCATGCAAAAAGCATGGGTGCTCGAGTCAGTTCCGCCACCGCCAAAAAACGATATTTTGGTGTACAGCTTGTTGCTTTGTGAGCCCTCCCCCCCAAAAAACTCTGTCACTAGCCTTGCTGAGCGGCGATTCACGATCCGGTAGTGGCCCTGGAACATGTTTAAACACAATGTACGACAGGTGACCCGAATGCTTTTTACACCAAAGATATACGACAGGTGGCCCGAATTTTTTCCAAGGTAAACGCGCAGTTTTGTATTTTGTGGCTCAATTTAACACCATCCCCGGCCATACAGACAGGTTAAGCCGATGTGCAGTGTGCATTTGCCATTGAACAGCTGTGTAACTTGCAATTGACCTTCTCTGGCCCCGCGCTTGTTTGTCACCGCGGTGGGTAGGGAGGTGGAGTTGTGAGTAGACATGGCGCCGGGAAAGTTCACATGGCATCGGTGAGTAGAGGCCACCCCAGCCAACTTAGCTACACGCCGCCATTGTAACTTGCTCCTCGGAGCCTCCTGGTGAGGATCCTGATATTCCGGTGGCGTGGGCTATCGGTAATGATGTAGTGCCAGGGGCTGCTAGCCTAGTGGACGGCGCTGATCCCTGTGGTGGAGTCCTCGTTTCGAGACTCTACGCGGGAGCAACAGGGACCAGGCAGCTCAAGGTCCTTTTTCTAGGTGACTATACGAAGCACATGGAGAATGCTTCGGAAATTGTCCAGCTCAGGAGCACTTTGGCCCAGGCGATGCCCGGTTGGGAAATCGCAGTGAGAGCATCAGAAGGCCCGTTCGAAGATGACGTAGGTAACACGTCTCACTTGGACGGTGCCACTGCCAACTTGAAGGGGGAAAGGCAAGTGAAGAGGTTGAGGGTCGACCTCCTCACTGCTTGCGCCAAAGCGCTTCGAGCCATGGGTTCGTACCTGCCTGATTTCGCGGTTGGAGTAGGACAGGGAGCAGTCGTGCTTGGGCTGCTCAGACTTCCGCTTGTCGTGGAGGTCACCCTGCAGGCGCGTAATCTGCAGAGGAAGGAGATCCGGGAAGTTGTGTCCGGATGGTCAGGGGTGAAGTCCATTTGGTGCGTTAATCCGCGCCTTTGGAGGACGCAAGCTGGGGGCGACTTGCTGAAAGCGGCCTGCCCTGAGATCAGTCGAGTCTTTCCTGAAGAGCCGACCAAGGGTTTCGGGGTGGTGACCCGCTCGCCAAAGGAGGAGAGTTCGCGGCAAGTTTGCGATATCCTCGGGCTTGGAGTCCTCAAGGACATTTCGGAGGCGCCTCTAATGAACTTGGCTGTGGAGCCAGGCAGGGATGTCTGGGAGCACGATGGAAGGTGCTCATGTGGCAAGCGGGCTTATGTGTTTGGGCGCTGCACCACTTGCATTGACAAGGAGGCAAGTGATGATTTCCGGGCAGCTGCTGCTGCGCGGGAGGCGCTTGAACCAGAAGGCGCCGAAGCAGGGGATGGCGAACTCCTAGCAGAGGAGCTCATGGTATTGAGCGCTGTCCCCACGGCTCCGAATGAGCCCAAGGCTTGTTTTGTTAATTTTAGGTTAGTCCACAGTTGGGCTAAAGCTTGGGAGGACAGTGGGCGTCCAGAAGGGTTTCATGATCTTCCTGGAAGGCTTGGAAAGGTAGCCGGGCTCGCCTGGGCGAAGGGAAAGAACCTGCAGTTGCCTAACTGTGGCGCAGAAGGAACTCCTTATCGCGCGGCCTGGTGCGTGCACGAGGATGGTACAGTCACCGTCCTCCAGTCTTGTTTGAAGGTGAGCCAGGCTTCATGGGAGCTTTCGGAAGTCAACTGGTTCAATCACGTCCTCCTGCTCAGTCGAGTCTGCGAGGCCACTTGGCAAAAAGGGATGCACTCTTCCCAGTGGCCTGCCGAGTTTAAAAGGTTGGTTTGGCTTGTGGGCGAGCCAACCGGAACCGTCGTTTGGGACGATGGCATCGGAAGCGAGGCTATCGGACGGCGGAGGGATTTGGGCTCTAAGCGAGTCCTGATGTGTTTCCAAAAGAAGGAAGCCGAAGGCTACTGGCTCCCGATCGCCTTAGGGAAAAAGGTCAGGGTAGATGAGGGTCATTCGCGTCCGACTCTCGCCATAGTAGGAAAGTCGGCTGAATTCAAAAAGGTCATAGTCTTGAGTACTAAACACTGGGTGGTCTCTTCGTGGTCCGGAAGGTCAACGATGTCAACGGGCATCGGAGCGATTGATGTTGAAGCCGAGATCCATGGACCGCCTCTGCGGGCGGGGGATCCGCCTTCGGACCCCTGCCGCGGGACGGAGGATGGAGGACCAACGAGGGCAGAGCGTGCGCAGGATGCCCGCTCTTTTGCTGAAGTAGCAGAGTTTTCAGTCACGGGGTCGCTAAGGAGCGCCCTGTATTCCAGTCAAAGGCAAGACGGGTCTCTTGCTGGGATCTTCCGACGGCCGGGGGATCCATACCGGGTAGGTGGTGATGGGGTCTTGGAACGGTCCGTGACCCTGGAAACAGGCGAGCAGGTTTGGGTTGTGGTCATCCCTGTTGGGCAGGCGGCGTCAAATGGTTTGACCTGGCGTAGGGCATGTTTTCAAATGGCGCACAGTGGGGCGCTGGGGGGGCCACAAGTCCAGCGACAAGACCTACAAGGTCCTTGCGCGTACGGTTTGGTGGACCGGAATGCGCGAGGACGTTCAAAAGTGGGTGGATCGTTGCCTTGTTTGCCTCAAGGCGAGGTCTCGACCTCGCAAAGTCGAAGCAGGAGTCTCGCGGTGTTTTGCCGACCATTGCTGGCAAAAGGTCTCTGTAGATTTTGAAGGGCCTAACCGGGAGGACCGCTGGGGATTCAGGTATACGTTGACCTATTTGGATTGCCTGAGCCATGCGGTGCTTGTGGAACCGGTTCGGTCCCTCTCGCACGCGGAATCCGTCGGGCGTTCGGAAAATGTATTTTTCGAAGCAGAACGCTGCCGACGCTAGTCCGTTCGGACAGAGGGACGGAATTCAAGAATGCGATGATGGCAGAATTCCTCACCCTGCTGAATGTCCAGCAGAAGTTCAGTACGGCCATGAGACCGTGCGAAATGGGCGCCAACGAGCGGGTGCACCAAGAGGTGCAAAAGGTTCTTCATGTGATCCTGCGGGAGCTCGCCAGATGAGACCGACGAATGGTCCGAGCTCCTCCCTCTCGTCGAGTACCTTCTCGACAACACTCCAGGGCCTCATGGGTACACGCCCAGAGACTTGGAGCGGTCCTGGTCCTTAGGCTTGGATCTTGAAAAGGACCTGATTAAGGAGAGCCTTCAGTTTGAACCCGTGAGCGAATGGGCTCGGCGCCAGTTTGGGCAGTTTGTGCAGCTGTCGCGGAAGGTTTCGCGGCATTGGGAGCAAGCCTCAGCAGCCAGAGCTAAGCTAGCGAATCGATATAGGCGCAGCTTGGAGCTCCAGGTCGGCGACCGTGTTGTTTGGCAAGCTCCAGTGCCCCGGGTGTTAGATTCGTAGAAGGCCTCCGTAACATATGGTTACCGGGTGCTCAACACTGCAAAACTGAAATATGCTGTTTGTCAGCAAAGCAGCAGCCAGATCGCTGTTGCCAGAGACTGATTTTAAAGGAAGTGGAAAAGCCCATCCCTCAAGGCATGAATGTGCTGCGACTGGCAGCAAAGTAACCAAACACTGAGGCCAGAATATATGCTAGATAGAATGCCATTGCACGCCAGATAGAACGCCAGAATGCCAGATAGAATGCCAAAAATGCAAGATAGAATGCCAGAGTTTATGCCAATCACCTCCACTAAGTCAAGTAGAAACCGCATAGTCTCATAGTGGCAGACCTGCGCCTGCACAGTCAAGAGTTCTTTCTGTGGGTCACGAATGGCGTGGCGAGCACGGGTTTGAAGCACATGCTATCATGGTGTTCGTTGCTTGGTTGATGGCAGGCTACCAACTATAAGAACTACGCGTATTGTAGAATGCCTGCGACGGGGGGGCAGCGGCACATGGGAGGTGGCATCCTCTATAAATATAGGTGCGCGATATGACACAATACTATAAATACCATACAACACGTCGATCGATTGTAAACAACACCTACAGGCCTATAGGTGGACCAGGTGGACATTCAACTATGGAAATATGTAATATGTATATATAACATATGTTTACAGGATCCCGGCCATCACGCTGCGTGGCAGCAAAACAAAATACGTTGCACATGTTGTTTGCAAGGGTGTTGCAAAATCAAAAGATTTGAGCTCCTTTTCGCACGGCCAACGGAGTGTTGAATCAACTGGAAACTGAGACGTCACAGTCTCAACGCCCGAAGCATTTTGAACACAAGAAAAATTTCTTTGCGTTCTTCATGCTTCCACACTGTGGGATCAAATGGATGCAATTCCCTGTGAGTGGGACATAAATGACCATGTCTCGGTCTCGGTCGCCGCAATCACTTTGTTCATCTCGGATCAGTCTTTTTTTGCTTGGCGCCCATCTTTACAAAAGAAGTTGCGCTAGCAGGGACACCATCGAAACCAGGAGCGCTTTCCTTGCAAACAACACGAATGCAGCAGCAGCGCCGCCAAACTAGTTGCACAAGCAGTGTGCCAATACTTCCCACCACAACCCCTGGCAGCCACAACGTCATAAACAGTAAAGCGTCTTCCATAGCCATCTCGGCCCTTCCTGTGAGCCCACAATTTCTGAGTGGATGCAAGTATAATTACAATCGTGAAACTGGATTCCTTCCATATAGATCCAGGGTTGAATATTTTGATTGAAAAGGCCCATGCTTTGGGCCCTGGACCGAGTGACTTACACTTAGGTGTTGTTTTCCAGAAGAAAAAGTTAAGATCGCAAGGCACTGTGCAGGCACAAGAGATGTCAACACAGGTACTCACACTGTTTTCTTTCCAACAGCAATCTCCCTGCAGTCTGCAGGAAGCCGGAAGCCCCGACCTCAGCCGCCCCCCCAAAAGTCCAAAAAAGTTTGATGACAATCACTGTGCAGCCAAATCCTTTCACTGCGTGCCAGCGCAAAGTGGCAACAACTAACTCTCTGAGATACGTTTGCAATTTGCAACATGCAGTTTCAACTGTGTCTGCTTTTCACTCCAACGAGCGCTATCCAGTCACACACCGTGTTCCGATTGACTGAACTACCAGCACTAGTGTGGGGCCTTCCCTTAGGTCTACCCACTGCTCCGCGCCAGCTTCCCCTGCAATCTCACGGCAATGACACAGCGAGATCACTCTCACTTCTTTCCACCTTGCTGGTGGGACTCCTGACAAAGGCGCAATGGCATGAACGAGAAAGATTTCTGAGAATAACTCAGGTCCTGCAAAAGCAAAACGTCGAAAGAATGCTGAAACACCTCCACCCGGGCCCACCTGGCTCTCCTCAGTAGGTGGGGCAGCCTTCAACTTCAAATCACTCTGCTTTGCGTCCACCGCCAACAAGATTTCGTCCAGCACGTCAGACTTCTTGTTGAGGTCCTTCCCCTCCATTTGCATCTTGCGCAGTGTGGCAATGCCTCGACTATCACCTGTCTCACCCACTGCCACCAATGAAACCTTCAAGCCAAGGTGGTCCGACTCACTTGTCTGCTCTCCGGCGATCATGCCAGCGGGCGTCCACAAAAGCTGGCCTGGTTTCAATGTTCCTTGCCAGATGCCACCACCAAGGTCCTCCAAGTCCTTGGGGGTGGCATGGGTCAAGAATGCAACAGCTGAGGCATAGGTGACCTTCTCGCGGTCTTCCTCCTTCAGCTTGTGGTTCTGGTCGGTCAACAATGTCACGATCTTCTCTGGGTCGGCCAAGATCACTTTTCCTTGGGAGATTCAAAAAACAACTATATAGAAAGGGATCTGAGAGTCACACGTCAAACCAACTCAATCAAAAACTTCAAGCAATGACAGGCAAGAGTCGTTCTCCGTTGTAGCAGAACCGCAAGTTGGAAATCCCAGACACCTCATACTGAATGGCTCGATGTTTCCCAATGGTAGCGTAGCAACTGGGCGGCAGCCAGTGGCCGGCATCGACCACCTCGTGTCCCGACAAAGAACCTCGCAGCGCGGTGGAGACAACCTGTCCAACAGCTTCTTTCATGGGCCTTTGCGCTTTGCCGGTGGTGAAGCGGAGGTCACTCCTGGCGAACTTCTCATGGAAGCTGGTCAATTCTTGGTAGACCTTGGTGGCATCCGGGGCGTCTGCAGAAGGCTCTTTGAGCGCTAGGAGCTTTTCCATGATGGAAGGCACCGCCGTGAGGATGAAAGGCGTGTCCATCACACGGTCAGCTGACAATGGACAAACATCATACACGTCGATGGCAGTGGACTTGTCATAGCTGAAGACTTCGTACATGGAGGTGGCTCGCGCGGCCCGGCCCTTAGCTTTGGCTTTTGCTTTGGCATTCTTGCCACGACCGCCCTGTCCCTGTGACTTCACCTCTGTCGCTCTCTTGAGCTCTGAGACAGCTGTTCTGCAAGCAGAGAGAAGCTCCTCCCAGTGACACATGATGCGATTGGCTTCTTTCCATGTGGCATTCAACTCCTCTTGGGCGGTAACGGAGTTGAACTTTGCCTTCAACTCCTCAGCCTGCCTCCGAGTCCAAAGCGCCCCAAAATTCTGGCAAGGGCCTGCCAACCTGATTGAACACGGCAACCGGTCAGTCAACGCAAAACAAACAAAAGGAAAAAACAAGACCGCCGTTCATCCCATCGCCGTTTTGAAGCCGAGCAACGCGAGATGGTGATCAGCTGCGCTTGAGTGGGAGACGGTCTCTGCAGATTTTGCTGCCTGTGACTTTGAATGGAGCTCCGCAACATACAGCCGAAATTCCTCTGCCCCAGCATCCTTGATGAGTCTCAAGGCTTTGAGCCTGTTGTCAAGAATCCTCATCTCTGTGCCTGCAGAGGTGGCACCCGCTGAGCCTCGAGCGGAGTCTAGGGCAACCTCCATTTGTCCAATCATGGCAACCATCTTTAAAGATGATTTGGCGAGTTTGCTGCTAAATTGGCGGGCTGCCTTGGCTTGTTGCGCCACAGAGTCAAACCACTTGGTGTCACCTTCAGCTTCAGAATCAGCAGGATCCTTCTTCCTGGCCTCATCCTCACCCTCAGCAGCTTCTGCATCTTCCACAGGAGGCAAAAGTGCTCCTTTCGCTTTGGCCTTGGTCTTGGCAGCCAGGTCAGAAAGGGTCGGCAACACCAAATCAGAGTCGTCAGCCAGGGCTGCTTTGGTCTTTGCGCCATTCATCTTGCAATCTGGCCTGCCACCTCCAAGAACCAATGCATCCACCTTACCTTCATACTGAGCTTCATTGAGTTTGGAAAGCTTCTGCTGACGTTCGAGCTCCTTCTGCTTGGAAATATCGTCGTAATCAATGATGTCAGTGGCAATAGGGATGGACAGCTTCAAGGTGCTCCCTTCACCCTCTTGGACTGTGTTGGGGTCTGCCAAGTACTCAGCCCATTTCCTTTGGGCTTGTGTTGAGCTGAGCGAGCCGCCCTGCGCACCCTTTGCAAAATCATAAAAGCATTCTTCGCTCATCATTCGCTTCCGGACTTCTTTTCGCACCCCAGCAGCACGAATGCTCTTTTCTTTGTAAAGAGTCAAGTTGAAGGTGCACTTGCACCGCTCCTTCTTCGCTGCCTCGTGCTCTTTTGTGTAGGCTGCGAGCAAAGTGTCAAGCTGGCTGTCATCTAAGCTGTCTAGCCACTGAACCTCCTGGCTCCGCTTGGCAATGTTTCGAATTGTGCGCAGCTTGGTGCTGCACTCCGCGCAATTCGCTTGGCCCTGATAGAAGTCACTCACAAGGCGCAACTTCTTGCACCGCTTGCATTTCTTTTCATCCTTGCTTGAGTTGGCCCCAGAGCCATCACTGTTTCTAGACACACGCCTTCTTTTCACAGGATGCGGCTCCGGTGGCGGAGCATCCGCCTTGTCCGCAGCACCCGCGCCCGCCCCTTCTCCCTTCTTCTGCCGCACAGGTTTGGGCACAACCTTGGCGGCCCCTGGCCCATCGGAATCCATCACCGGCTGCAAGTCATCCACGTCCATGTCGCACACGTCGCAAACAGCGGGGGGATCGGGGGAAACCAAAAAAGGCTGAGCAGGCTGGGCAAGACACGCGATCAATATGAAAACGACGGTCAACCCTTTGAAGACTGTGCAAACTTCTACGCTGAAGGCTCAACACTGAGGGCCTAACAAAAGCCTGCAAACCACAACCGCCTGGAGCAAGTCACTCGACAAACAAAACACGCAGGCAGAGCGCTACCACAGAACTGTGCAAGCCCCACCCATGAAAAACGTCGTGGCACGCACAGCCTGCCAAAAAAGGAAACCACGAAATCTGTTTTTGCTAGACTTCCCCTCGCCAACAAGTTCGATCCAAAAGTTGAATCTCATATCGAATTAGGACCTGTATGTGTCCAAACACGTGTCCTCAAGAGTATCTTCTGTGTCCTGAGTATCATTATCTTCAACCAGCTCTTGAGAGGGCGGGCCTGCGCCACCAATGACCTGGGTGGCTGCCAAAGCATACAACAAAATGTGCCCAATGGCAACTACATGCATCCCGTTGCCCGCCATCGACCTTAAATGTAGCGGGCCAGGCTCACAAGCGGAGTGCTCCCTGTTGAGCTGGCGACGAGGCAAATGTAGCAGCTGGTCAGGTTCGCCTTGTCTTTGCTCATGGCCAAGAACAACCTCTTTGAAGGGGCATTGGAAAGGCAGGCTGTCATCAACAAACATTGGGCGCCCTTGCACTTCATACATCTCCGGGAACGTCATCACTCTTTGATGAAGCATGGAGAAGAGAGTGCTGTTCTGGATGAGGGCTGGCACCAAGGATACGCATGGGCTTCGGCTCACACTTTGAGTGATGTTCATGAGGTAGAAAGCAGTCTGATGACGGTCCAAGCCTTTGTGCTTGCGACATTTCCTTGGCTTGAGAACACAGAACACTGGTTTTCTTTGCTCCCCAAGACCGTTTGGCGAACTAAATCTCCCATAATTCCCACACAAGCCTGCATTGGAAATGTTTGGCGGCGTTCAAAAATGGATTGCATACCGAAGCACAAATGAAAAACACACACACACACACACAAACGCAAATTTGCTAAAATCAAAGTTTCTCTTCCCACTCTCGCGCGCGCTCCCTCACACCACTAGACATAAGCAGTTTCGCCGGCCACATGCCCCCATCAAGCTGCTTTTCTGGCATGTTCTTGCGCCTTGCCCAGGATGCATGGAAGCTTGCCACATATGACTCCGGCGCACTGACAAAGACACGCCCATCAAGACTAACTGGACGTTCAAAGAGCTGCTGAAAGACAGTTGGCGGGTCTCGCAAAGCAGGAGGCGCCCAGGCCACAACGTCATGCCTCAGCAGGACCATGTATTTTCTGTTCCTTGTGCATGGCCATCCGAACTGCGACGGGTCAACGTTCATGACCGCCATGTGAAAAACAGGCTTGGCTAGGTCACTGAGCAGGCCTTCGTCAAACTGGTCGACATTCTCAACAATGACCATGTCCGGAGCATCGTCACGATCACGGACAAGCTCGTGCAGCCAGCACAGAAAAGCCAACACAGCTTTACCAAGCCATCCATCTCGATCTCCCAACATGGACCAGTCAACGCAGGTTGGCCCTGCGATGTGGACAGAGAAGGCCCCAACACGCTTGCGCTTGTTGCATGGGCACAACCTCCCATGCTGGTAGCACCAAGCTTGGTGAGGGAAGCTTTCAGCATCTGCCTCCTCCATCATCTTCCAAGCCGCATGCATGAACTCTCTACCAAGCCTGGCAGTCGCTGTATGTCTTGCGACTTTGCCAGCGGCCTGATAGTCTCGGCGATCCACATAGCTTTGCCGAAGACTTTTGAGGGTCTCCAACAGTGTCGGTGGGATTCTCTTCAATATGTCTCCAAAAATGCCTCGTGCGCGAATTTGAAAGTGAAGGCCCAAACACATCAGTCAAACTGCTCGTTTGGGGGAACAAAGGGAGCCATATTTTTAAAACACTCGCCCCCATAACGGAGCCTCATGCAAAATGTAAAGTTATATTTATATATATATATGTTGTTTGATCATAGGCCGCTTCAAGGTGCACCACTCAGACAAGGGTCTAGTTTTGTATTTCACGCAAACTCAAACCCTGGCCAAAAGAAAAATGAAGCTCAACACTAACACCTGCGTGTTGAGCTTGTTTTTCAACGACCATAACTCAACAAAGCTGAGCTGCACGCAGGCTTGGTTGGCCCGTCTCTGTGGCACATAAGCAGCTTGCGGCAGTGCTCAGTCAAATCCCCGGCTCGCACACAAGCAACAGAAGGCCACCCCGATGGAGTCTCCCGCGCGCGAATGCCAAGTCTACAAACAGCTTCCTGAATGAACTGCAAGGCCACCTCGCCTGTCCCGACACCGGAGTAATCCGTAGTGAGCTCAACGCCACTTCGAAACTTGTTGACCAAGTTGCTCAACATGCCTGCTTGCTGCACCCTTTGAACCGCCCATGTTGGCCAATGCCAGAGATCTTCCCTAGATCCAGGGCTGGTCGCTGCAGGAAGATCAAGGTCGGTTTGGAACCAGAGAGAGCTGGAGGGGGTGATGGTCTCATCTGCATCGGCGCGCAATTTCCGCTTACCCATCTTGGAACTTGGGCAGGCAACACGCACAACACCAACCTTGAGCCTCCTGGTGAATCCATCCGAATTGCTTCGCAAAAGGGTTTGCCTCCATAGAAGCAACTTTAATGGATTCTGCGTGTTTGGCCATGAAACCGATGGTTCTGGATGGTTTTTCAAAGCCTTTTGGTGATTTTGCTCTGTTCCCAACGAAATCTAAAAAATCTGGACGACATTCTGGACAATCTAGCTCGTTTCATGAAAATCTCGCAAGTCCGGCCTTGAACGCAACCCCGGCTGGCTGGAAAATTCGGTTTCCAGCATTCCTGGCAACGCGGCCGCCAAGAAACAATGAAACTTAGAAATGCTCGTACCAGAAAGCAGATCGAGTAAACTGCGAGAAACCATCCAAAAGGACACCAACTGAGGGCGAGTAATGTCCGAGAAACCCGGCGAGTAAGCTCCGAGAAACTCTTACCTATTGGATTGATAGAGGGCGAGTAACTGGCGAGAAAGTCAAGCCGGAGCGAGAGGTCAACAAGAAAACATCACTTGGTTCCACAAGAAAACAAACAGAAATTGACCGCGCCTGAGCTTTTTAGATTGAATTTTGACTGAAACCTCAAAAAAATCTAAATTTGCTTGAAAACGGCTGAAACCAAGCAAAACCGCCACAAACAGAAGAAAAACTGTCACGTGGACATTGAATCCTATTGAAATCCATCATGGGTGCTTTCTACGGAGGCGTTCCCTCAACACTAGGTTTTTTGCAGCTTCTGGGCAACCCCAAACGCTCTAAGTCAAACCACCAGACAAAACAGGAAGCTAAACCTCACTCAGAAACGGGCGGAGCGTGAGCAAGGGCAAGCCCTCGCAACCTTATGGTTCGTCTTGGATTGAAATGAACGTGACATGTTGCTCTTGAAAGAAATGTTCCTTCTTAGCGCCTTTGTCTTTTTGCTGTTTGATTCGACAAGGAACACGCAACAGCAACTTCTCTCACAAATCCTGTATTTGGTGTTGTGGCCCCCAATTGTCAAACCAACTAAAAACTCCAGCCAAGGAAAATTGAAAGACTTCAGTCTAAGCTCTATAAACATCTAGCCAACAAATCATCTCAACAGAACTCATTGGCGCCCGGCCACTCGATAGCCAGAATAACACCTGCGTCCTGACCAGGCGATGGGGTCATGACGGCATGAATCCTAGTTGCGTTCCACAGTGTTTAGAGCCTACCCCAACCAAATCCATGTGGGTTAGGGAGCTGACTGCCAAAGAAGAGAGTTGGAGAGACCAAACATTACTTTCAAGAAATACCTGCCTCGGTCTGCAAAGGTCACGCCCTTCCCTGAGACCAGAAACATTCTTCCATCAACAGAAAACGGAAACTGCAAATGTTGCAAACATAGCCTGAATCAAACTACCAGCTAAAACATTGACTCAGCGCCTGGCTCTGCAAACCAAGATCGAAACCCAGCGCCGGGCCTAGCAGAGAGCTGGGTTGAATGGCATTTGTGGATGCACTATGGTCTCAGTTTCACAAGTGCACTTGTTAAAGTTTGATAGAAGCCAAAAGTTAATCTATGGAAGAACTGGTTTCCCTCGCCTCAATCGCTTCCAGAAGACGAGGAGTCGGAACTGGACGATGTTGAAGATGAAGTAGATGCGCTTGACAATCCCATGACGTCCTCACCTCTGGCAGGATGTGAAGAAGAGGCCTTGGCCTTGCCACGAACCTTGGCACTGGCTTTGCCCTTGGCTTTGGCAGCCTGAGGTCTTGCTGCAGGCTTGGGGCTTGGATCTGGCAGTGCATCATCTGCCTGAACAGAATCTGGAATTTGAACCTCTTCAGACTTCACAAGCAGAGCCTCATATGGCGGCGTCTCCTCAAAACGTGGGTTGAAAGCGGAATGTTGGTACGCACGGCTGAAGTTCTTGCCTGCCACCAACCAATGTTGGACCATTCTAAGGCACTGCACTTTTGCATCATGCGTGTCATTTGCAATGTTCAATGCTTTGGTGCACTTGGCTGTGGCGGACTTTTTGTGAAGAGGGCAGATTCCCTGCCAAGCTCCAAACCGACACTCTCTTGTTGGCTTCCTAAAGGTGATGCGAAATTTTGGTGGGCCACGGCCCCACGCTACAAGCGTTTCTGGTTGGATCTCTCTGTCTCTCTGCCCGGCTAAAGGTTGCTCATCTGGCGGACTCACGGATGAGGGAGGCGGCTCATCTGGCGGACCCACTGAGGGAGGTGGCTCCGGAACACTAAATCCATCGGGCTGGCGACTTGAACTGCTGGCAACCTCTCCTACTCCTGCTGCAACTCCGATCGGCGGTGATGCTTCACCTTCACGCGCTGCGGCGCGAATATCAGCAAGCAAAGAGCTGTCTGACTCCAAGTC